AATGGGGGGGGGGGGGGGGGGGGTTGGTTGGGTTGCATAGTCGACAAGCCGCTCACTGGGCGTCTGAGAGGGTTCTTCCAGGAATATTAAACTTGAATTGATTTGGTGCATTGTGACACATATGTAAGTTCAAGAACGTTTAAAAATCATATATTTACATTTGATGAAAGATAAAGTGGGGGTACAAATAAGTGTGCAAACAACCCCAACCCGCTAACCCTAACCTACACCCCCACCCTTGTAATCCCACTGGCTCCGCCACTGTTACATATACACATTTGAACATAACAAATGAATTTAAGATACACAGAAGTATCTGAAGCGTATCTTAATCTATATAAGGGAATTACATTCGTTAGGTCGGATTTTTGAAGTTTGTGTTGTAGTCTGTATAACGACTGGTTTTAAAAAAGAAGTAGTAGATATTATGACAATACTTACTGTATGACCGTAAAATGCAGAAGGCTGACAAACCGAGCATGGTAAACAAACACAGCCCATAAATATACACCACTGTGACGTCACCTGGAATATCTGTTTACCATAACTGTCTACAACATTGTATGGGCTACCGCAGCATCCCGGTCTAAAACAGAAAAAAGTTGAAATTAGCTTCCACGACAGAAAGACAAGGGCTCTGATTTTTTGTATTCGTTAGCGTACAATCCAATCAAATAACTGTATTGATATTCTTCAGCAGTACAGGAAAATGATGTCAAGGTATAAGACGTAGTTCGTAATGTCCTATCGTTGGACCCGTGGCTTCTTCTTACCATCAGTACACATATTATAGTTCTTTTGAAATTTTTCTAACAATGATTAACACTACTTACATCCTGCCAACATGAGCTGCTGGAGTACCTGGTGGAATCTGGATAGCCAGTTCCCGCCCATGACACATACATCCACAGCAACAGAAGAAACCTCGATAACATTTGTATTCCCAGTCCACATGGAACACTTCCTGAAATGACAGTCACCAAAAATGCATCAAAATGACACCAAATTAAATTCAAATGCTCTATTTCATGTCGAAAGTCGAAAACGGATTTCACATGACAAACGTTGATTAGTTCAAATTAACGTCACTAGAACGTGACTGCGACAGAAAACATGTTAGATTACGATTGGGACGAAAAAATAAACGTACTAATATTATATTGGTATCAGTTTATTTCTGGTTTGATCGATTTGGAGAATTGCTTAATTACAAGTACAATAATTGCTTAACGAAAGCACTAACGGTAGGACATAATATAAAAAACTTACTTTTCCATCAAAATCCACCATAAATAAGGAGAAATCAGATTTAAGGCTTTCTCCCGTAAATTCTAGAATATAAATAGAATTACACTTGATATAATAGGTTTTGGTAATTTTAATATTTGCGATAAAAATATGATTTGAGCATACTAGTAAATATAATACATAGTTTGTTTACAGATAAAATATTATTTGTGTTTACAATTGTTTACAATGGCTAAACTATTTAGTAGAATTATGTAAAGTTTACTAGAAAAATTACAAGTGAATGATGCAAATTGTGTTTTTACCAGTAAACTATATATGAATTGTGTTTACTTAGTAAAATATATTAAATTGTTTACTAGAAAAATATATAAAATTGTGTTTACTTGCTAAAATATTTAAATTGAGTTTTAAATGAAGTAGATTATATAAGTTGTGTTTACTGGTTAGAAAATTGTGTTAACTAATAATATATTAATATATATATATCTATATTGTGTTTACTAGAAAAATATATAAATCGTGTTTACTAACTAACCAAACAAATTCAAGACATAGTTACCTTTTTTACATTTGTAAACTTGTTCTCCTTTTGGATTGAGTAATTTATATCTAATGACTCGTTCAGAACCATCCATTCCTTGATCAAGATCTGAGTAAAAGATAATATAAACACATGATATAAATATGATAAAAGCCACACGTTGCAAAATAGTTTTAACACATCTTCTCTTATTTTAAGTGGTCGCTTGTGCTCTAAAGAGACCTATCCATTTCGCAATTGAAAAAGAACCATCCATTCTTTGGTCAAGATATGGAGAAACGAAATTATGTCTCAAAGTGGAAAAGGCTTCGTTTTCGTACAATTGCTGGAGGCCCGTTGGCGAAAAAAGAACATGAGCATTATGAATCTACAGTCTTTTGAAGTGGGGCTGAAAGCCTTAACACTAACTTAAGTAAACTGCCTACGTTCATTTGTCTACACGATGCAAAAATTTGCACATTTTCATTGTTTTAAGAGGTCCCTTGTGCTATCAACTAGCAATAGAGAAGAAGTCGACGAATACAAAACTATTTCCAACAAAGTTCTGCTACTCGCTGTTGAATTTCTTATTTCAATCGTTCAATAAGGTAAAGGAATGTAAGACATAGAAGTGCATTTCAATAACCTAATCCTTAAAGGTATACTGTACTTACTTTTTTCGGTAATAGTTTGAATTTGAACTCGATCAAGTTTGGCTAGATACTCTAATCCTGATTTGTAGGTATCCGGTCGATTCATCCATTGAGGTAAACATGTGAAAGCTTCCGGTGCAAACTCTGAACGACCCCCTGAAAAAATCCGTATTTGAGTCAATCTTTACAGTTTCTAAACAGCATATTCGAAATTTCGAAATCCGTATTTTAATTAGATTTCCCTATTTGGTTCGATACTCATGCTGGTCTCAAACTATTGTGTTCACTACAATTAAGGCCTGAATATAGAGTTAAGATTTCAATGTATTTCCGGTGTACGCGAATTAGGCGATACTAGTGCATTATGGGATGTTAGAACCGTCCAATCAACGCTAAGATGACGATTGCTCAAACCTGTTCCTTCGGGATTAAGCCTAGAATGGAATAGTGAACCAGTTTAAAGCTAGTAGGACGCTTCTGTACTTGGATAACGACTAATACTAAGTAGTAATGGCGTAGTCAAATACAGCGTCGTTCTATGAAAGTATATTGGAAAGTATAGTCTACATATTTGAATTGCTGCACGAGATGCTTATGTGGGCATAACGTAAGCATACCACTGTATAGGTACTTTATATTGTACAGATATTCAGCATTTTTATCATAATTCAGAAAAAAACTTATGAATATTATGAAAGGATTAAACTGTGTTAAGGTATGTTTTTAACGATTAACTGAAAATCGAAGATAATCATTTTTCCTATAGAAATATGTTTAATTAATGGATTGAATTCATGCGTATTTGAAAATTAATTCTTCTTTTACCTTCCAATGGATTTTTATAAAAAAAAATATTTAAATTTTGCAACGGTTTCTACCATTGATTATATATATGTATTGGTTTAGTCCGAAACGTCTGCCTCTTTTCCGCCTCTGATAGTTTATGAGTAGGTTTTCGACTGTTGTGGGGTTAGATAAATTAGGCCCTGTTATTTTGGAGATTTTCCGCACCTCAGGAGGTGTGGGATAACTTAGACATATTCATTTACCCCGAATCCACTAAACTCCTTCTTTCGTTAGTATCACGTGACCTTGTGACCTTTTATGCTGGGATACGCACACAGTCTCTGGTGGCTGGCGGATTACTTTCGTTACAAAAAGACTTTGACCGCAGACGTGACATGAGGTATGTCAGGGGATAATGATAATACAGCCATCTTTCCAAAAATATCAGGGTTTTGCAGGTCCGACGTATATAAATAGGTTTAAAAACTGCGAATATGTGGAGATGCGGAATGTCTCCATTCAACAGGGCCTAATTTGGCTGTCTACACAAGCCGATATCTATCCAAAAAGCTACTCGAGGCTGGAATAGAGACTTAAATGGAGTTGGGCGATAATGAAGGTATAACTGGACTAAAATATATCCATTTTTCCAGAGTTATCAGGGTTTGGTGGATTCGAGATAAATGATAATAAAATATTAAGTTTCAAAACGCAAACTTTCGAAGGTACGGAAAGTCTCCATGGCAATATTTAAGGGCGAATCTATTCGTCATTTAATCTATGATTCGAGACGTCGTCTTGAAAGATCACATGTCGAATACTTAGACCCCAGATGAATAATTCAATAACACGACATAACATGACATTTTAGATATATCTTTGATATTTCCCTCATATTATTTTCTGCTGGTGATCACTATGATGCTCTATCAATCACCTATGTTTTTTTATGAAAACGGTTCAACCTTTTTAATGTCGTGTATTATAACCGATAATAACTGGTTGATTTGGTAATCAATCGTAATTCATTATGGGGACGATCAAAACATGTTTTAAAATGCTAAGAGTGGTAAATACGGTAATAGCTTAAAGCTAACGTGAAGGTATTAAAAGAGTGATTAATATAATAGCTTAAAGCTAACGTGAAGGTATAAAAAGAGTGGTTAATAATAGTTTAAAGCTAACGTGAAATTATAAAAAGAGAGGTTAATATTATCTTAAAGCTAATGTTAAATAATAAAAACAGCTTAAAACTAACGTGAAACTATTTAAGAGTAAGTTTCTTTAATTATAAAAGGATAAATTAATAGATGCTTAAAGCTACCATAAAAAAGTAAAAAGGTCGTATAAATGCCGCAAGGACTGATAGATTTCGCGAGAGTGCATAGCCAATCGAACGTCTTGTTAGAAGGTAGTATATACATGTGCTGCCTTATTATTTACATTATTTCTGTCAAGGCTGCGATTGGCTGTACTAGCTATCGTACAATCCAATCAAATCAACCTTAATATTCCAGTTGAACAAGAAAAGCGCCTCGTGATGTAGAGATATTGGATGGAGTTAGTAATAACTTGACATTGTTGAGATGATATTGAAAATTGGTAATCTCTTTTTGCCCAATAAATTAGAAACAAACATGTCTTTACCTGAACTGACGATTGGTTGTGTGGGTTGGGAGCTGATGGGCTCCATGGCGGCTCCACACGTTTCATCGTTGAACGCTGGAGTTACTTTGGCTAAACTGAAATAAAGGAAAATGAAAATACTATATTCAGCAAGAAACGAAAATGAAAGAAGTTGGAACGCATTTCCGGAAACAAATTTGAACCATACCAGCAGTGGCGGAGCCAAAGGGGGGGGGGGGGGGGCAGAGGGGGCAGCCCCCTCCCCCCTCGCAGCCCCGAAAGCAAGTTTTTCGGGCAAAAATCTCACAACTTTATTAGAAATTCGGGCAATCTTAGATATTTCACTCCCCCCACCCCCACCCAAATCTTCCAAATGTTATAACCTTATATGTATTTTTTATACCAGTAAATCTTCCAAATGTTATAACGTTATATGTATTTTTTATACCAGCAAATCTTCCAAATGTTATAAGGTTATATGTATTTTTAATACCAGCAAATCTTCCAAATGTTATAACGTTATATGTATTTTCTATACCAGCAAATCTTCCAAATGTTATAACGTTATATGTATTTTTATATACTAGCAAATCTTCCAAATGTTATAACGTTATATGTATTTTTCTATACTAGCAAATCTTCCAAATGTTATAACGTTATATGTATTTTTTCTATACTTGAAAATCTTCCAAATGTTATAACGTTATATGTATTTTTCTATACCAGCAAATCTTCCAAATGTTATAACGTTATATGTATTTTTCTATACCAGCAAATCTTCCAAATGTTATAACGTTATATGTATTTTCTATAGCAGCAAATCTTCCAAATGTTTTAACGTTATATGTATTTTTTCTATACTAGCAAATCTTCCAAGTATAATATATATTTATCAAAACTAACCTTGCAAGCATTTTGTGTGTAGAGAGCGAGAAAAAAAATCCCAAGTAAACTGTTTTCGAGACTATAAAATTACTCCTTATCCTTGCACCATTCTTCCCGTCTTAATAAAAACAACCCTGTGATAACAGTCGACCTACGAGAGTAAAGTATAAAAATGTCCAGGTAGCGGAGCTGATGTCTGTTAATTAATGTTTTTAATTAATAAATCTCTTTCATCTTTATGTCAGCGTCTCCCTAATGAACTTAATTTTCTGTGATTAATTACCCCATGTCTCAAATTTTATTCTGTCCTTCGGTTATATTTTGTGGTTTTGATCCGATTTTTTTTTAAGTACCTTAACAAAGAAGATCGACGTACAATGTACGTACTATGATTTTTAGCTTCTTATTAAATGAAAAATGAAAAAGAAATTGCATTATGTAGTGTATATAATTTTTAAAACCAAACATTACCCCGGAAAACATGACGTCATTAGGACTAAATAAAGTAAATCATGTCAACGCCCTAATTTTCTGACTCTGTACCTTGCGTAAAACAGAATAAAATATGGTAGAATAGAATAGAATAGAATAGAATAGAATAGAATAGAATAGAATAGAATAGAATAGAATAGAATCAATACTTCAATTAAAAGTAATTAATGGAAATATAGCCATCACTTGTGACGTACAAAGATTCAGTACTTTGGTTTCTTCCGATCTTTTTTGGAATACAGTTGATATCACTGACGTATCATGACGTAACGTGACGAATCACAATGTCTACAAAGCAAAAAAAAAAACCGTCAGAATACGTCAATAAAATGTCAGAATTGCATGACGTAGCACGACGTCACACGAGGTACCGCGACGTCATCGGGTCTGTAAAAATAGATGACGTGGACCCGGAACGTCATTAGAAACATCACGAAACATCTGTTTCATATGGCTGCCATCATTAGTAACACTCAGGTAACTGTAGGAAGGGTTATAATTATATATGTCAAAGACTTGCGTTACCTTTTTAGAATCATTAGAATCAGGATATTAAACTCTGATGATTGTTATGGACAAGGCGTCCGGTACTGATTTGTAAATCGAGTCTAAAGTAATACCCAATCAAACTTGGTTCGTACACTCGTAAAATACAATTAAAGGGAAGTAACTACTAAAAACAGTTCAGACAACAGTATCTCAACGACGAGGCCATGCCTATGTTTGCTTTACTATTAATTAGAATTGATCACAATCATCAGTCTTGATGGCCACGGCTGCTAAAGCCAAGATAAGGAAATTCTATTTAAAGGGAGTTAACTACTCAAGTGTTTCAGACCACAAAAATCATTTAAACACGACGAAGCTCCAGCTTTCGTTTAATCAATAATTGAGTTTAATCAAATCAAATCAGTCTGGATGGCCAAGGCTGTATCTAATTAAGTTCTAAGACCTACAATTTTTATGTAGCATACTTTAGTCGGGATTGTCAAAGAAATGTTGAGAATGACTCGCGCACAGTTCATACATTTTTACGGTGGACCCGCAAAAATTATATTTAGGAATGTAAAACTAGCATCGAAGTCGTGGATCGATTCTACGGTGGAACCCAAAGCATCCTCGCCACATTGAAAAAATGCATATTTTCACACAAACATTACCATTAGTGTATACTTATGACACATAAGAGCTTGTGAAAATGACTGGAGTTTTACGTCTTACTTTTTTTTTAACCTTATGGGCTAAAGCGACATACAACGCCTTCAATGTGCACTGGGAAATTTTTGCCAGGACAGCGACATTAGCTTACTCGTTTTCGTTTTCCAACTGTCGAGGGATCAGAAGAGCTGCAATCAGTGTTCAGGAGCTCGGCAACAACCAATTAAAATTTTTATCGTGATTCATAAGCGAAATGCGACAAACAGGAAAAAAGGTCAGTCGGCTGTAGGTCTAACAGCTGGTCACCAAAGCAAACATCTGGACGACTAAAGCTCTATAAATAATAACAAAATTGTTTACAAATCTCGTCTAGCTCGACAGCAAATCCTTTACGTTGCTGACAAGTCATTTTCAAGCTGCTCACTTTGTCATTTTCATTCTCCGGAGAGTTTCTGCTTGACATCAGTCGTCCTACACAATTATTGATCCACTTATCAACTTAATACATATTAACCGAGACTATATTCTCGAGGGAGTATAGACCTGATTAACCGGTCTGATAGAGAAGTCTCGGTATGTGGTTGAAGTGAATTGTCGAATGACAGTGAAATGTGATAGAGGAATTGCTGTCACGGATGTGTGGAATATTGGAAAATGCTATTCTTGGATTGAGAAGATTACACGAGTGTCGTAGAGTGGTGCCAAGGCTCCTGGAAATCTGGAAAACGTAGGTAAGCCTATTATTTTGGAAGGTTCAACAGATTTGAAGCAATATTCGTTTGCCACAAGAATTCATTAAGAATTGAATACGATTCTAAAAGATTTTGATTTAGCTGAACTAGTTCGATCTGTGCACCATATGGTAGACGAATAACAATCATTTTCAATTAAATTTATCTTATATGAAAACAAGCAAAGCATATGATTACTTAGATAATGAATTATGCGTGAATAGAAAATAATTATGCGTTGTAGAACTAAATTTCTAAATATCATATTTAATAAGAGATTTGGTAAATATAATGACTGGTTTGAGGCTATTATCATGTATGTTAAGGTTCATATAGCGAGGTTTACTGATTTACAGTGTGATTTTTTTTATCTGATTGCTGAAAGGGGGAGAGGGAGGGTGCGGATTTTTGGGGGTGGGGTGTATTTAGGGGTAATATTTCGGGATATTGTAGAAATATTGACTGGTTTGAGGCTATTATCATGTATGTTAAGGTTCATATAGCGAGGTTTACTGATTTACAGTGTGATTTTTTTTATCTGATTGCTGAAAGGGGGAGAGGGAGGGTGCGGATTTTTGGGGGTGGGGTGTATTTAGGGGTAATATTTCGGGATATTGTAGAAATATTGACTGGTTTGAGGCTATTATCATGTATGTTAAGGTTCATATAGCGAGGTTTACTGATTTACAGTGTGATTTTTTTTATCTGATTGCTGAAAGGGGGAGAGGGAGGGTGCGGATTTTTGGGGGTGGGGTGTATTTAGGGGTAATATTTCGGGATATTGTAGAAATATTGACTGGTTTGAGGCTATTATCATGTATGTTAAGGTTCATATAGCGAGGTTTACTGATTTACAGTGTGATTTTTTTTTATCTGATTGCTGAAAGGGGGAGAGGGAGGGTGCGGATTTTTGGGGGTGGGGTGTATTTAGGGGTAATATTTCGGGATATTGTGTGAACACTATTACTGATTGGCTTAGGTAACATAATTCCCGTTTCTGAGACTAAGCTACGATTGGTAAAATGGATGTGTGAACGGGTGAAATCCCGAAGAGCGATAGTTGAAATTAAGTGTTTTAAACTTAAAAACCAAGTAAATAGTTGCAATATAGATATAATGTGGTGTTGTAACGCATCGTTGCATAAATTGCTCGATTACAGTAGATTTTATACACAGACTGAACGAGGTTTCTACGTTCACGACTGAATGAATCCAAGTTTATTAGTATATAGTTATATACGCTTTAGGATCAGTTTTTTGATTTACTGCAACCTGTTGTATTTAGAAACTTTCAAGTGGTAAGGTTCAAGCAGTTTTTGGACGTAATTATCGACACCAAAATAGGTGAGTAGAGGTATGTAAACGGTACTTAGACAAAATTCAAAATGGCAGAGAAAGAATAAAGAAGGCTACGTTTTGAATGTAAAATGTACGGTTCGGTATCGTAAGATTGAATCCAGAATTTGTAACAGGCTGAACCTGTTCAGAAGTAACCAATCGAGCGCCACCTTAATTCTACCTTCGACTGTTTTTGTTTATGTTTCAAGTACAATGAAACAATTCGGAACAGGGACAGGGTTCGGAATGTGTGCCATATCTTTCATAAAAAAGTATGCGTAGATAGAATTCAAACTGGCAGAGAAGGGACAAAGTAGGGTAAATTTTGAATGTCCGGTATCGTAAGATTGAATCCAGAATTTGGAACAGGTGAGACTTGTTCAGAAGTGATAAATCGAGTGCAACCCTTATTTTACTTCTGACTGTTTTTGTTTATGTTTTGAATCGTGTCATACATAAACTCTTATTCGATATCATTTTGGGAAGAAGGTAGGCTAGAGTCAATTTATATTGTCATATTACAATATATTCAGTTAAATAATTTATTACTTCAAAATATCGATCAAGAGAAAATAATATTCAAATATTCATGATAATTTTTAACAGTATATACTCGAAAAACTTCGGATGTTAATCCGAAATACTGCACTTTATTCTCTCAAAAAATGTCCCTGAAACCGGAAGTTTCTACAAATTACTATAAATTTGTACGAGAGAAACGTATCCTTGGGATGTCAATCCGAAACATTGTCCCATTTCCCTACAAATTTAAACAATGTTTTTGATATGCAAGAGAGAAACGTGTGGTTGGAATGTTAATCCGAAACACTGTTCTTTATTCTCAATAAAGTTCCCCGCAACAACCGAAAGTTCCTCCAAATCGTTCAAAATTTGAACAACCTTTTAATATGCACGAGATATGTAAAATAATAATCCGAAACTCTGTACTTTATCTCTCCAAAAGGTTTTTCTCCAGTTAACGTTCGTTGTCTTATTGGTTAGTATTGTAAAACGAATGAACGAAAGAAAAATAAATAGTATATTTGGAAATAATAATGTATGATTTACGACGTTATTAATAATGAGAAATTTTACAGACTGTCTCTTTAACATTATTCAATTAATTTCTATCATATTACACATGGTTAGAGTCAATTTATTCAAAAATTCCAGAATATAATAAACTTGTTTTAAATAGAAACAATTCAATCGTGAATGAACCGATACAGACAAAAGGACACAAAACGTTCTATCTCTTACTTTGTAAGAAGAATTCAATATAGTTTCAGAAAGTTTTAAAAAATTCAATAAAAGAGGCGCCATATGTTGATGACATTAGGGAATGAATAATAGTTTTGCGTTTTCCTACACAGTGATATTATATGTGAAATCTTATAGAAACTAGAGGCTGTAAGAGTATCTGATATTCAAATGGCCTATCACGGATATCATCCAGTTTCTTTTGTTGGTAAGACGAGTTTTGACGTTATTTTTTTATGTGAATTAAAGGGATTTTAAAGAGATTTTTCTAAAAAATGTGTATGTGTATTGGGGACACTGATAGCATTAATTTGTACTATTCCAATTTTTAATCAGACATTTGTGGTTTTTTTAATTTCGCTACAAGGCTCTTTTCAGTTCATTTAATGCACATATTTTCTGACCATATGGTTCGATCAGATAGAGCAAGTATTGAAAAGTAGCTCAATAACGCGCTTGAAATAGGACTTATAACTCGACCATTTCCTTATTTTATCACCATCAGAACCATCATATGTAACCATCAGATAAAGCAAGTATTGAAAAGTAAACAATGTAATGGAATTGACCCAATAGGGTTATTGAAATCGGGCGTAAAACTCCTGTATTGAACGAACAAACATAGGAAGCATTGAAAAGTAGCTCAATAAGTCCCTTGAAAGTAGGGCGTAAAACTTCATTTCGTGTATGGAAAAGAAAACCGTTTACTGTCTTGAAAGTATGTAAAACTCCACCCAATTTACATATTTTGTCACCATATTGCACGGACTATGGAAAAGTACACAGTGTGACGTCATTGACAATTTAATTGAGAATAAACATGTACTTGATTGATCGTCTTGGTTGAAATTATTCCCTAGATATTGATTCATAATAAACCGGAAACAATGGCCTCCCACTTATCGATCGTGCTATTTCCAAATATAATCTGAAATTTTCTATTCTTGGTTGAAATCTCTTTAATATAACACGATTTGACGTCTTCAAACATTAGTAATTGTCATAATAATAAATAGAATTAATCACATTTATTTATAAGATGATTTCCATTTATTACAGACACTGAAATGTTAGAATAGGTCAGTTACTGAAGCAACTTACAAATTTACCAACTTAGCTCTTGCTATCATAACACTTGCCAATTACAAAATTACAACTGACCAAATCAGCAACTTAGCAACTTCCAACTTAGCACTTACCAATCCTACAAAATTATAACTGACCAACTCAGCAACTTACCAACTTAGTTCTTGCTATCATAACACTTGCCAATTACAAAATTACAACTGACCAAATCAGCAACTTAGCATAGCACTTTACCAATCTACCAACTTACAACTTAACACTTACCAACTTACCAGCTTACCAATTACGAACTTACAATTTTACTTCTCACTTACCAACTTGGCAACTCACCAAAACACCAATTATCAACTTAGCATTTACTATAACAACACGTACCAATTACTAATTGTCAATTACCACTTACCAATTATCACTTACGTCAACATGACACAAAACCAACTTATCAATTACTTTGTCATTACAGATGTATAACCGTAAATATCGCATGTTATTTTCTGATTTTAGGTTATAAAATGGGAAGGTTAGGAAGGTTCGTGGCTCAAATCACCAGAAAGAAAACCATCACTGCTGACTTCCACGAAACTTCGTTACGAAAATGCCTGACCACTTTCGACATCACATTCCTTGGGATTGGTCACATGGTTGGTGCTGGTATTTACGTCATCAGTGGTGCCGTGGTCAGACTTAAAGCGGGACCTTCAGCAATCCTTTCGTTTCTGTTTGCAGGAGTCGCTGCGTTTTTATCTGCGTTGTGTTATGCTGAATTCGGAGCCAGAGTTCCCAAAGCCGGATCGGCTTATTCTTACACATACATCACTGTCGGAGAAATTTGGGGCTTTGTGGTTGGGTGGAATATTCTGTTGGAACATGTTATAGGTGCCGCTTCCGTCGCTAGAGCTTGGAGTGCATCAATGGATTCCTTAGTGCACGGAGCAATAAAGAATGGAACGATAACAGCTTTTGGAACAATGGGTAGTCCTAACGGCTGGGTATCAGAATATCCCGATCTATTAGCATTTCTGTTTGCATTGGTAGCTTTTATCATAGTGGCAACTGGAGCTAAATTTAGTGTCAGATTTAACACTGTATTCACCATGTTTAATGGCGCTGTCATTTTGTTCATCGTCTGCGCAGGTCTGTACTTCGCGGATTTCAGTAATTGGACCAATGAAAATCGCGGAGGATTTTTCCCTTTTGGGTTTGGTGGAACGTTGACTGGAGCAGCGAGCTGTTTCTTTGCTTATATTGGGTTTGAGGGTATAGCAATAGCTAGTGAAGAATCGGAAAAGCCAGAGAAAGCAATACCGTTGGCTACAGGTATCTCTCTGTTAGTGGTAACTTTGATATACATGTTTGCCACCACGACTTTAACATTGATGGAACCTTACTACCACGTTGATACGTCTGCGGCTTTCCCATTCGCATTCGCGTATAATGGCGCGTATTGGGCAAAATACATCGTAGCCGGAGGAACTTTGTTGGGTTTGACAACTTCTATGTTAGGTACAGCGTTTTCTCTCCCACGAGCTGTTTACGCCATGGCCAACGACGGTCTTCTGTTCAAATTTTTTGCTCGTGTTCACCCTTCAACTCAAACACCCCTATACTCCATTGCAGTATTCGGTGTATTGGCATGCATAATGGCTTTATTGTTTGAAATAGACACCTTAGTTGAATTCATGTCCATAGGGACATTAATGGCCTACACCATTGTAGCGGTCTGCATCATCATATTACGCCACCTACCGGTATCCAAGTGTCAGTTTGAACTGCATCCGGAGGAAGTGGTGGAGCTTGAAACTGAAATGAAATCTGAAAATACCTCAATTATTAAAAAATCAAAAAGTCATGACGATTTTGGTCATTTGAAACAAAATGTAAAGAATCTACCAATTTTAAGAAATCTAGAACCAGGAGACGCTGTGATATTTTCAGTTATGGCCATGTTGATTTCTATGATGCTATTTATAGCAACTTTAATTTATGGTTGGAGTCTAGTTGAACAAGGAACATGGTGGATTATTATATTGGTTATCATCTTTGGTTTGATGATAGTATTGTTTTATTTAGTTATTGTGGCTCATGAACAAAACAACGCTTTCATGACCTTTCAGGTGAGTTTGACCCTTCACCTTGACCCTTATGAGCAAATATCAAGGTCTTTCTTAGTGCTGTCTTTTCATGATTTTTCAAGTGAGTTTGACTTTTGACCTTCAGGAATCTGACCTTAAATGCCCCTTGACCTTGATCCCTTTGATGAGCAATTTTTTCAAGGCCTTTCTTATTGTTTGGCCTTCCATGGCCTTCAGACAGGATTGGCAAGGTTACTGAGGCTGTTAGATCTGTTAGACCTTTCGACCTTTTATGTGAGCCTGATTTTTCATGTCCAAGAATGTGAGTGCGTTGCTCAAACTATACTGGTCCCGAAAAATTGCAACCCCAAAACAACTGCCTAGCATCTTTGACAGGACGTCCAAGATTGGTCATACGCAGTTGCCAATTCCATTCAAATTGCTATTTATTTTTTTCAGATACCTTATGTTCCCTTACTACCAGCTTTAAGTATGTTTCTAAATATAGCTTTAATGTTCTCCTTATCCTTTCTGACATGGATCCGACTGTTTGTTTGGATCGGAGTTGGTAAGCCATTTATTTTGTTTCGTAACTGTGCTTACGTCTGTAGCACTTTCTGGTTTAGGTCAGGCCTCTCAAATGGTGGTCATCTATGTTCGTGATCAGTCTTGTTCAATTTCTTCTCGGTTCTTTGTACGTCAACGTGCAAATATTGTCGCAGGCTATATTGCTTTTTAACCTGTTCACCAATATGAACAATATAAAATTTTGATGAATTGTTTGCGAGTTATTTCCCTTTGCAATTTCGAAATGCAATCAGATCATTGCAGTTTTATTTGTACTTTCTCTAAAATACTGATGACATCGTTTTTTTCATATTTCAGGATTACTGTTGTATTTTTGTTATGGTATGCACTTCAGTTTAGAAAACCGTTCCGCTTCCGGCTACGGCCAGATCGTGGAGTATCCAAAAGAACCGGAAACGTCCGTTGTGGAGAGCTTGAATGAGGACATTCGGGAACAGCAGCCGGCTCGAAAAGATCAAGGGTTGTTTTAACTTCGAATGTATGCACAATACAATATGCGTTTAAACTGGAGGGTATAGTCGAACAAATATATTTGTTTGCATCCAGTATGATCGAATCAAGATATTGTGCACATCCGAGTTCGAGCACAATCAGTCCATTTCATTTTAAGGAAGAATAAGTGGTGACTGAAACTGTTTAAGCCACATCAATAATGTAAGGGCCATCATCATAAGTTATTTCAGGGTTTTATACACGATATTGAATGCTGAGCTGTAGTTTTGTCCTGCTGTTCATTGTTGATTTATAACTTTCTGCCAAAATTTGAAATCCATTGTTTACTACGCATTACCCAAAATTACATATACCAACAATCGCAACGACCCTTTCGTCTGCTTTGTAGACTACCCATTATCGAATTAAATACACGCTGGCTATCCCTTTGACACAGCGTCTCTTTCGTTCGAATGTAGACTGCTCTTTACTCCGATATATTTATACAGGATCAGTAATGTCCCCTTTGATCTATGATTTTGTAGACTGTGCTGAACCCCATATATATATTAATACAGGAAGCAGTAATGTCCCCTTTGATCTATGATTTTGTAGACTGTGCTGAACCCCATATATATTAATACAGGAAGCAGTAATGTCCCCTTTGATCTATGATTTTGTAGACTGTGCTGAACCCCATATATATTAATACAGGAAGCAGTAATATCCATGATCCATGACATTCTGCTTTCCTCACAATATAAACTCAAGATCAGCAATGTTCTATTTAACCCATGACTTTGTAAATTTCGTTCGCTTTACTCAAGCATATGTATCCCGACTATCGTTCGAGTGATTCGTAGACTGCGCTAGACCCAAAGATTTTATCCAGGATCAGCAATGTCACCTATATCTATGACTTTGTTACATTATACTTTACCCAAAGATATATCTCTTTCGTTCGAGTGCTTTGAAGATTGTGTTGTACACAAGATATTTATTTAGGATCAGTAATGTCACCTGTGATCCATGATATTGTGCTTTACCTACAATGTCGTAAACTTACACCAAACCGTATGTTAACCTCTTATGAATGTAATAAGGTTGTTATTTTTGTAAAATTGTGCTCAAATGTCGAAATTGATTTGTTGTTATCTGTAATAAAGATTTATTTAATGTTTTCCCTTTTTATTTGAAGTTGCAAATCTACTGACATTCTGGTCTTGACAATCGGCGAGAAACTGTTTTACAGTAATTTTACACTGGATTTTACAGTGTATAGATGATTCCTAATGAATTCATTACAATATATATTTTTGATATTAAAAATTAACCTCAATCTGGCAATATAAACTATAAAACGATGCACAGTTGTCCGCTGAAATTGAAAAACAATCTACCAACTGGCAAAAACATCCAATACGAAGGTGAATTAACATTAGATTCTTACAGTGTACTCGTAATCCCGATTAAATCCTCGTATATCCACATTGAATTATACAAACTAGTTAATTAAAGTTGGCCCAGATCGAACAAATACCTGTTCTCTTGTAAAATAAACTGGCAAAATATACACGATTATTTTTCACTGTATTTTTACAGTGTGTCAATAATCCCAAATCAATCAACTTAATTAATATATACAGTCTATTCTACCTGTTACATAGTAACAACGTATTCTGTTGTAAAGTACCCCTCCCCGTAATTTTACAGTGGATTTAAACAGTGTAGCAATAATCTCAAATAACGGTTATGTATTGGCAAAATCGAACAACAACCCGCTCTCTTGGAAAATAGCCTGACAAATAAAATGGTAATTTAACGGTTTATTTTTACAGTGTATCAGTACTCTCAAATAAATCCACTTAAATCCACATTCTATGTAATTGAAGATTGGCCTAGATCGAACAATAAACCATTCAAGTGTTACATAGGTCTACATGTTATTATAGAATGTATTAATACATGTATATGGTGTCATCTTCGAGGTCACGAGTATTCTTACCTTGGCTTTGTCAAATAGTGATTGCGACCTACAGTAGCGTATTGTATTTCGCCTTGATTGGATTGATTTGTCCTGATTTACATATTCACAGATGTTCGAAACTACTAGAAAGAAGTTTTGAAAATGTTCTTAGAATCATAGGGAAGGTAAGTGTGGGTTTTTGGCATGATAGTGTATTGGTTGGCAACTCTGAAGTCTTTTTGGGGGCTTATTTAGTAGTTAATTTGTTTTAGATAATCGGATACTGTTACATCATGTACTATCAATGATTGCCCTTTTTCGTATCATATACCCTTGCATCACCCTGTACTCTGCTCTGCACTCTGCCCGACCAATTTTGCCCTATCTCCGGACGTGACGTACACAACTTCTAGATTTGAGCGTGATGACGGCACTTTAAGGGTTTGATATTCACCACTTGTAGGGTTTGGGCGTGATATACGGCACGTTTAAGGTTTGGGCGTGATATACGTTTAGGGCTTGGATGGGATATCGGTACGTTTAGGGTTTTGGCGTGATATTAGTACCTCGGGGTTTGGGCGTGATATACGGTACGTTTAGGGTTTGGGCGTGATATACAGCACTTTAAGGGTTTGGGCATGATATACGGCACGTTAAGGGTTTGGGCGTGATATACGGCACGTTAAGGGTTTGGGCATGATATACGGCACGTTTCAGGTTTAGGCGTGATACACGGCACGTTTCAGGTTTAGGAGTGATATACGGCACGTTTCAGGTTTAGGCGTGATATTCGGCACGTTTCAGGTTTAGGCGTGATATACGGCACGTTTCAAGTTTGGGCGTGATATACGGCACGTTTAGGGTTTGGGCATGATATACGGCACGACGTTTAGGGCTTGGATGGGATATAGATACGTTTTTTTCCAGACACAGAATGTTTTTAAGAATTGTAACCATGACAACAATCAAATTTCACATAACGTTTGATATCAGAACAGTATACGTTTATGGTTTCTAACTTATGAGTATCTACTTAAAAGTTCTCGACATCGTTTTATTGTGACCAATGTCTTATAGTATTAGACCTGTATACAGGGCTTTGGTATTTCAAGTGGTATTGGGTAGACGACTAAGTTGATGCTCTTAGACATAAAGGTCCTGATCCTAGAACTTTAAAAAGGTTCTTGAAGATGTATTTTGTGGAGAAAAAAAAATCAGAAATTAACAAGAATGTGATTGCTATCCCCCGGTTTGGTTACTACCATATTACTTGCTTGTCAATGTGTCAAATTGCAATAATTATATTTGGTTGTTATCACTTTATTTGGTTGTTATTTGATAATGATCCTGTCAATAAGGTTGTAATAAAACATTTGGTTGTTATGCTATTCAGTTGTAATTCTATTGTCATGTTATTTCATAATTAGCCATTTCATTTTACGCTTCGTTTGATTGTTATCATGCAATGCTTTTTTGATTGTCATCACGCTTTCTGGTTTTGGCTTGTGATCAAGACAATTAGTCATCAACTGTTATAAAACGCAGTTTTGTTCAAGTTGTAACATATTTGAATAAATCATTGTTTACTACGTCTGTTATAGTTTAATAAGATTAAATTTGGTAATTCGATATCCACCTTGTATTAAGGCTATTTGAAGCTTAAATAGGGTTGTTTTGATCCTTACTTGATTAATCTCATACACTGTTCGTAGCTTTACTATCAGAGGGTGGGGGAAGGGGGGGTTGGGGGGGGGGGGGGGGTGGAA